CCCCTATCCTTAGTTCAGGTGTTGACGCAGACCAGTCCTGAAGCAACAACTTGCATTTGGAGGGAGAGAAGCGCATCCCAAACATTCTGGCATTGTTTCACGGTGCTACCAAAAGACTCTGCATTTCATCAGCGTCTTCACAAAACAGGACTATGTCATCTGCGTATTCTAAGTCAATAAGTGGACCTCCTGGTAGGAGATCAATACCTGAGAATTCAGTCGATGAGAGCGTTATTTCCATCAGTAGATCTATGATGAAGTTGAACAAAAATGGAGAAAGTGGACAGCCTTAGCGGACGCCACTTGAGGTTGCGAAAGCAGATGACAGTTCCCCATAAGCGAACTGTCAAGACAGTTCTATTGTATGGAACGGAAAACTAGAGAAATAAGAAAGCCATCATTCAGAAAATACAAGTGTTTATTAACAGTTGCTCACTCAAAATACTTCGGATCTGTTAGCAAGACACTACACTATCAGCAACAATCTACTGTAGGGGAGAACAATTCAGATTGTAGTGGAAGAAGAGATCAGAAAGAAGTATTTCAAGTGGATAGAACACATATTGAGGAAAGAACCCAACTGCGTCACTAGGCAAGCCCTCACATGAAACCATCAAGGTCAAGGGAAGATTGGAAGACCAAAGAACAAATTACACTGAGAAATGGAGACAGACAGATATGAGAAGAATGAACAACAATTGGATAGAACTATAAAGGAAGGCAGAGGATATAGTGAGTTAGAGAATGTTGGTCAGTGGTTTATGGTCCATTAGGAGTAACAGGCGTAAGTAAGTAACTAAGTAAGTACATAGTTCTCTGATTCACCTATTGGTTATCCAATCAATGTTTAACAATGTTTAAATGAGATATACAATAAACATGTAATGTGAGATAAAAAGTATTCAAATAACCTATTCAGTATATAGTAAACCAAAGAATCATATACCTTATATACATTTGATAATATTGATGTTCGATTTCATATATCCATAAAGAAAGTTTGAACTAGATTGTTAGATAAATAGTTAAATAGTTGAATTCATTTCATTCTGATTCGTTGAAACTTTCATCAATACAACATTCTTTTCTTCCAATTTTCTTTTTTCTATTTGTTATCCACCATTTTAATCCTCTACATTAATTGAAATCATTTAACAAGATCATTCATCTATATTATTTATATAGTGTTAACCATCTGTTGAATAAAAAGAACCAAATGTTATGTACCTTGTGTTAACTTTAAGAATAAAACAAAATAATCATTACGAATTCTATTAAAAATAAGAAATCTGAGGAATTCCTAAACACACACACACACAGAGAGAGAGTGTGTGTGTGTGAGGGAGAGCGAGAGAGCGAGAGTGTGAATGTGGGGGGAGAGAGAGAGAGAGTAGGACAAATATATATGTGATCACGTTTTTTCTTTTTGTTGTTGTTGTTGTTGCTTATTTATCAACTTAAATGAAAGAGTATACTTTGAAAATAAAAATAAAAATGATAATCATAAATTCCCAATGAATTCTTTACATCATTTTTTTTTCTTTGTGAAAACAATTTATTTTCCACCAAGTTATCACTAACACATATATACACACACACATACCCATACACATTCATACACACAGACACACACACACACAGAAACATATACTTGGCAACAATTGTATCTAACTTATCTTAGTAATATAGTAACAAAATATAGAATAGATTAGAATAACATTAATAAATTATAATGAAACGATTGATATTGTAAAATTACATTATGTCAAATGAATTTATTATTTTATTTCATTTTGTATATCAATATTGATTTATGTGATCATTATGCAATGTTTTTCTCTTTTTTTTCTTTCTTTCTTTCTTTTTTCTTTTCTTTTCTTTCTTTTTTTCTCTTAACTGTTTTGTTTTATTCAATGATGTATTATATCATTGAAATGATGATTATTTTCATACGATATCAAGTGGGGTTTTTTGTTTTTATCTCTTTCTGTCTCTCCCCCCCTCTCTCTCTCTCTCACACACACACACTCTCTCTTGTTTCAGTAGTAAAGTGGGTAAATTTAGAAAAAAAAACAAGTAGGTAAATGTAAAACAAATCAATTTATTTTAATATAGATTTGGTATATTGTAACAAAATGTATAAAAATGAACAATTAAACAATCTTAATAGTTGAGATTATGAGTTAGTTGAAGCTAGACCACCATAGAAAACCTAGAAGCATTGGATGACCATTTCGTTCTATTGTAGGACTTTTCAACAGTGAGCATCCATAATCCCACTTCAAGAGATTCGAAACAAGGATCTATCAGTCTTGCGTACGAACGTTTAACCTCTACACCATTGAGTTAGCCAGCATCTAACGGTGTTATTGTCTATCTTAAACTAATCCATGAAATTGAGTGACATATCTATCATTGTCTTCAGTGAGTTACTATCTCACAATTGACTCGGTTGAACTCTATAGGTCACTGCTTACTCACTAGAACTCCAGGATATACCTCTTGAAACCAGTCACTATTGAGCATATGTTAATTAATATCAGAAGTGGTTTTGTGGAGATTGTAGTAATTTAAATGATTGAAATCATGAGTGATTTGTAACTAGACCACCATCTTAGATGTGTACTACTGAGAAGTACCATACTAGGATGAAACGGCCTTCAACTACTTCCAGATTTTCCATGGTGGTCTAGCTTCAATTGACTCATGATCTGAACCATTGAAATTACTATAATATCCACAAAAACCCTTCTCATATAAATTAGACAATCATCTAATTATGTACATAATGATGAGAGAAATTTACTTTCGTTGGTAACTTGAATAGATTCAACAAATATTATCCTATCGGCTTTTATATTTTACATTAATTGACTACATTGAGATGAGGCGTGGTAAAAGTGAAATATTGGTCAGTATATATGAGAATACATCAAGGCTTGAAATAAAACTATATAGCTTTTATATCTAACAGCGCATCACAACTCCTCTATCATGGTTCTAGAGATAATTCAACTCAAGAGCTTGAAATATCTCACAGTAGCAATCACTTATGTGATTTAGCTTTAGTGTTGTTCTGTTTTAACATTCATAGAAATGATAGAGACTTCTTTCACTAAAAGAAGTCTCTCTTAGGTGTATTTCGTTATACAATAATTCTGTTTACTTATTTATTTCTTTTCTTTTGATTATCTTTCCTTCTTCCCTTTTATTTCTTTGTAATGTTGTCTATTAATCTATTTGTATTGGGTATACTATTTCTGTGCTTGAATGCGGTAGTAAAATTATTAAATGCATCTATTTATTATTGACTGACTTAAGTCAAATTACTACCGAATACTACACAGAATTTTAGTTAATAGTTCATAGACTATTGTTCAGATTATGATTTATTTACACTGAAGAAGTGAACTTCATTAGATCACGAAACGTCTAACCGTAATGATGATACCTACAACTTTACTAGACTACTGAGATATATTTTCTCTGTATCAGCTTACAGTTTAGAAACTGTTCTGTAATACATTGAACATATAGTTGCATTGATATTGTAACCTGGAATACTTGTGTATCGACTCAATCTGTAACACTTCATGTGAATACAATAAAGCAAGGAAGGCAAAAGGGCTAGAAATGATAGAGAATGATAGCGAATCAATGAATGCACTGCAATTATCGATTTTGCATCATGTCATTCAACTTCTCTAATCAATAATTATAAATATTATGTAGGTAACTATCAATCAAAGCCCCCTAATGCCTTGGTACGACCGAGAGTGGGGAGAGTCGGCTATCCCTCTCGAAATGCTCTCACATGACCATGCGTATATAGCCTCTGCCAGGGAAGTCCTATTCACTGCCTTCTCGCACCACGGGTGTTGTTTACAAAAATGAGAGGACGAAAAGCGAATGTCCGGTGCTTTAACTGGACCCCAAACCAATGGTGCACATGGGCTGGCTCCAGTATCCTGAAGGGATAAATGGCATATGAACCAATCGTTGGTCACCGGCTACCATGGGACTGCATCTCCTGACGATGCTCCACTGCCTTGTGGGTCAGACGTTCAGGTCGAAGGCTCGGGGTGTGGCCCCCTAAGTAAACCACCTGCTTCGGTTTAGGCACCCGGGCAGTATCACAGCCCTCACACATATCAAATGAGATCTGTGTGGCGCATATGTATTTGGTCTGTCTTTGTACCAATACCTTTGTGTTAAAATAAATAAAATAATAAACAATCAAAGACATATTCCAAACAGCTCATCAGAGTCAAACAATGTCAGAAGTAGAATAACTGACAGAAAAAAAATTGAGAAGATCGAATTGAAGATAATAGGAATGTAAACAGAGAGCCATTGTAATAACAACAGAATTGAATGAATCATGAAGCATTTAAAGGATAACAGAAGGAAGATGTACAAACAAAGTACTTAATATATGGCTATTACACTTTATGAAATCATCCTGTAACTTTGCATTAAACGATAAATTGATCTTTCCTCATATAAAATCTTCGTTTATTAGATTAGTAGCATAATGAATTGAAATACAGGTGAGAACGAACAAACTTACTCTAACACACAACTACACAGATATTTGCTAAATTGTAAAGACAATTCTATACCGATTACTCTCTATTCCAATCATCTGCTGTCAGGTTTTTCACTTTCGACAAGATGTCACATACTACTTATATCTGTCGATATAACTAACGTACACCACAGTTTAGTCGTTGTCGTCGTCGTCGTCGTCGTCGTCGTCGTAGTAGTAGTAGTAGTAGTAGTAGTAGTAGTAACAGTAATAGTAATTGCTTGATCAACATATTCAGATAATAAATAATATCAAATTCTTTTTAAATCTATGGATCTTACGCATGGACTGTGTACAATGATCTGTTTCAATTCTGAGCCATGTCAAAGTAACTACCACTTTTTCATATCATTTACGATTGTTTATTTTCATCTTTCTTTATCTTTTTATCCCTCTATACATATTGATATAGTTTATTCACGAAAACGTCGTAATGTTTTAACAAAAACACAAGAAGATGAAATAAATATAGAGAAATCTTTCATTGATAATGAAAATGAATCATTTTTAACAGAATCTATTGAAACAATACAGTCGTCGTCGTCGTCGTCATCATCATCATCATCCTCTCCAAAAATTCCTGTCATACAATTTCGACGATTACAAAAAGAGGTAAGTACATTATTCAATTGTTATTGATTATGATTATTTAATCAAATGGGTAAGTTTTACTCTTAACACTCATATACTAATCAACTGGTCCATGTAAACCGACTTATACTTCTTGATATACTGTATCTAACTTGAGCAATAGAACGCTAGAACCCTCTACATTGCAATGAGAAAACAAAAGACTAGTGAAAGGAGTGTTATTTCAAACAGTGTCAAATTATAGTATGAAACTCTCAGGTATTTATAGTTTTTAGTAAAAACGAAATCATCATTACAGCTATTCAATCCGCATATAGGGGGTTATTAGCATTGTCCAATCAAGAAGCTCCACATAGGGATTCTAGAATATTCTTGCAAAATGTGATTGGATGGAATATCTTCGGCTCTTTCTGAACTTCTAACAGCTTCCTCACAATTAGACCTTGAATAATATTCATTATCAGTTATTGAAGATTATTAGTGTTATGTATACAAACTGATATCAGTGGAATAGATACATTCCATTCATTATCTTCTATTATATCTGATGTTATTTGAGAATTCTAAATTCTGACAATTGTTTACATCTTTATATCCTACTATACTATTCACTTACTTGTTATGTATCTTGTTCATTTCATCCTATCAATGTCTCTATGTCATCTGAAGTACAGTTATCTTTTTGTAATTGAAGCTTTGAATGACCTTAATTATGTATATGATTGAATGATTCTACCCATTCAACTTCAATCTGACAGCTTAATTTATTCAAAAAGCATAGCTAACATTATTTCGATTATTTAAAACATCACAGTCTAGTTAGTATTTAAACTGAGTCTTGTTTCGTTATTTTCTCTTCATCACAGTACGGTACAGTACAGTAAAGTATAGTATAGTATACTATAGTACAGTACAGAGCATTAGACATGTATTTTGGTGTACGATGTATGATTTTGATAATATGATGTAAAAGTCCTGTACAGTCCAGTCCAGTATAGTATAGTACAGTACAGTACAATACAGTATAGTATAGTATAGTAAAGTATAGTATAGTATAGTATAGTATAGTACAGTACAGTGCAGTACAATATAGTACAATACAGTACAGTACAGAGCATTAGACAAGTATTTTGGTGTACGATGTATGATTTTGATAATATGATGTAAAAGTCCTGTACAGTCCAGTCCAGTATAGTATAGTACAGTACAGTACAATACAGTATAGTATAGTATAGTATAGTACAGTACAGAGCATTAGACATGTATTTTGGTGTACGATGTATGATTTTGATAATATGATGTAAAAGTCCTGTACAGTCCAGTCCAGTATAGTATAGTACAGTACAGTACAATACAGTATAGTATAGTATAGTATAGTATAGTAAAGTATAGTATAGTATAGTATAGTATAGTATAGTATAGTATAGTATAGTATAGTATAGTATAGTACAGTACAGTGCAGTACAATATAGTACAATACAGTACAGTACAGAGCATTAGACAAGTATTTTGGTGTACGATGTATGATTTTGATAATATGACGTAAAACTCCTGTCAATCAGTTCATCAATTTTTACCAGTGAGAATATCAAGACCTGTGTATTCAATCAAATATATATATATATATATATATATATATATATATATATATATATAATTAGCTCTTAGTAGTGAACTATATCTCTAATGCTCAGAGGGAAAAGATTAACTATAGGGTTCATCTAGTGATATATATTTACAAACATAACCATTAAAATATTTGAGTTATAGTGAATAGTATTGTGAAATTATGTTGTAACCAATGTTATATTTTACAGATTCTATTGTTTAATTGACATAGGTTTATATGTTATAGAACAATGTCAGTTTCTTCAAGTTTACCAATGTATTTAGTCAGCTAGAATGTAATTTAGATCTAGAGTTTGTTGGTGGTTACTATCAACCATATAGTATAAAATAGTACAATATTCTATTTTATTACTTTAATTAAACAGTGAAAATGTTTTATAATTTTACTAAATAATAATAATAATAATAATTCTTTTTGTCTAAAAAAGAAAAATACCTATTTCGAATCTCGCTAGGTGGAATCATGGATACGAACTGCTGACGAGTCTCATACTGTGACGAAACGGCTATTCAGTGATTCCAGGTTTTCCATGGTGGTCTAACTACAATTAAATCATGATTTCAACCATTTAAATTACTATAATATCCAAGAAATCCCTTCTGATACCAACCAATATATGCTCACTAGTGACTGGTTTCAAGAGGTATATCTTGGAGTTCTAGTGAGTAAGTAGTGACCTATGGAGTTTAACCGAGTCAATTGTGAGATAGTAACTCACTGATGATAATGGTGAATATGTCACTCAATTTCATGGATTAGTTGAAATTAAACATTAACACCGTTGGATACTGGCTGTGGTCTAGAGGTTAAACACTCGCGCGTGAAGTCGATAAGTCTTGGGTTTGAATCTTATGGATGCTCACTGTTGAGAAGTCCCACAATAGGACAAAACATTCGTCCAATGCTCCAAGGTTTTCGATAGTGGTCTCACTTCAATTGACTTATAATCTCAACTATTATTATTTTTTCATTGTTGAATTATTCGACTTGTAAACTTTTCCATGTGTTGTATAGTAAAGTGAAACTGGGAAATTAATTAAATTTTTTATATATCGACTAATTTCAATCCCCCCTCTCGTTTATAGGTTGTTTTTAGTTTCTATGTATAAAGTATAAATCAAAAAAAAAATAAAAAAATAAGAAAAAATCTATCGAAAAGATAAAATAAAAGAAGAATGTAACAACCCTAAATGAAATAAGTTTCCAATGTACTTTAAATAATTTGCATAGATTTTTTTTTTTTTTTTTGGTATTTGTAAAACTACACTGTTAATCTCATTACGTAATCAGTTTTTTGGTGTTTTTTCATTGATGTTGTTGTTAAGACATGTATCATCTTTATAAGTGTAAGTATAATAAACTTGAAAAGAAAATATTGTTGATTAGTTATGAATATGTCCATAATGTATAACATGAAATTCAATCATTTCCACTAATCATAGATACTAATATTTTAATAATATTCGCGTTAGTAACTAATTTTCAATGATAATTTCTAGAGTATTTAGTGATCTTGGATCTGACTTCAGTTAGATCGTATGAATAATTATTATTAGCCTTCAAATGATCTGGTATCGCTGAAAGTAGGAAGAATCAGCTCTCCCTGACAATCGAAATGCTCTTAAGTGATCACCTGCATACAACCACTGACAGGGAAGTCCTACTCACTATCTTCTCGTGGCATTACTGTTGTTCACGAAATTAACAGGACGGTAATCGAATGTCTGGCGCTTTACCCGGGTTGGTGGACACGGAGGGTCCACCTAGGGGGGTTGGAAAACCCTCATTCCAAACCATTGGTGTATATGGGCTCTAGTATCCTGAGGGAACAAGCGGCGTATGAACTAATCGTTGGTCACCGGCTACCATGAGACTGCATCTCTTGACGTCGCTCCACTGCATTGTAGATTAGACCTTTAGGTCAAAGGCTCCGGGTGTGGCCTCCTAAGAAAACCAACTACGTCGGTTTAGGTACCTGGGAAGCATCCCAGCGCTCACACAAATCGAATGGTCTATATTGTGCATATCTGTTTGGTGCCTCCTATTGAAATATACATATCGTCAATCCTCATATATAATCGCGTTAGTAAATAACAGAATTAAAATAAGTCAAATACGAGAATGAAGTATTGAATACATATATTTTGTACACTTACTGCTCTGAATAAGAAATGAGAAGAATGAAGCGAATAGATAAGAGCGAAGTGAAATGATGCGTGATGGAGAAATCATGTCCAGAAACTAGAATAAGTTATATGGGCTTGATATAATAACCGACACTACAAATTTTTGTTCAAGGTCATAACCTATAGAGCTCAATTAGATCAATTTCAAGGTAATTAATAGACCAATGATATTGGAAGATGGATGCACAATATCATGAAATGGTTAGATTTAAAAATTTTAAATATTGGATGCCATCTCTATTGTCAAGAGATTAACTCTTTCAGAGATAGGGATGAAAGTCTTAGGCCCAATTCCTTATGGAAACGTAAATGCTCATTGATGAGCAGTAACATACTACAATAAAACAATTGTTTAGCGCTTCTTGGTTTTCAAGTGTTGTTTAACTACAATCAGTTTATGATATATTAACTGTTGTATGATTAAGTTGGAATGTAACTATGGAATGAAAAATTAAAGTGTGATATCAATCCAATTTAATTACTAATATCTATTTAGTTGTTATACAGTTATTGATCATGTCAATAATGAAAGACAATTTGTAGTTGAGTTAAGTTTACTATCTCTATTTAACTATTTTCTATAAAACTAAACAGAATCGAATGTGGTCTAATGAACTTTTGATTTTCATCTTTCTATGTGTAATTGTTTTGTTTTCTTGTTTGGTAAGGAATAACATTATCAAACCCTAATGTTCCCGATTACTACTGATACTTTCACTATCTCTACCACTACGGGATTTGAATCGATCACTGAATCTCTGTGCTAATGTGGTATGGTAACTCGAACGGATGTACGTACGTACAAAGTTCTACGCTGTTACTGACTGACTGACTGAGTGACTGACTGACTGACTGACTGGCTGACTGACTGAAGGAATAATTAAAAATGATCCCAAAATTAATGATCAAAATGATGAAAAAAAGTACAGGGTTTTTTAAGAAAGGCCACTTTTCATTTATGACTAACTTACACCTGTTAACCCTCAAGGAGGAGCTTAGGCCGCTCACCAACATTCTCCATACAACTCTGTCCTGAGCAATCCTTTCCAGTTGTTTTTCATCCTTTTCATGTCTGCTTTCAGTTCCCGATGAAGTGTGTTCTTTGACCTTTCTCGTTTCTATTTCCCTTCAGGATTCCAAGTTAGCACTTACCTCATGATGCAGTTGGATGATTTGCGTAATGTTTTTCCTATCCACTTCTAATG